CAACAACAATAAAAAACAAAATGAAGCCAGAGAGGATGACCCGTACATATAATCTCAGCATTCATTCAGGAGGCAAAGGCAGAAGAACTGCATCAAGTTCAAGGTCAGCTTGGACTATAGAGCAAGATAAAAAAACAAATAAAGGGGCTGGGAAGATGGCTCAGTAGAATAAGTGCTTCCCTGGCAAGCGCTAGGGCCTGAGTTCAATCCCTGGTTCCACAAAAATAAATAAATAAATAAATAAATAAATAAATAAATAAATTAAAAACTATATCGTGACAATACTTTTCAAGGTAGTTCCTTTACAAAAACTAAGTGCACTTTATTATCACTGCTGACCTTTTTGATTCAAAAATATTATCAATTGGAAAATCTACCATTAATAGTTTTTCAGGGAAAACATACAATGTTAAAATACACAAATTACAAATTATATTTCAGGGCCGGCCAAAAAGCTCAGCAGATTAAAGCACCTGCAAGCAGGCGCAGGGCCCAGGGTTCCATCCCGGGCCTGCTGTACCGGCCCTGCCCCCGGGGCGCACTGAGACAGTGACTGAGACTGGGCATGGTGGCGCGCCTGTAATCCCAGCACTTGAAAGGCTGTCAATAGGAGGATCACTATAAATCCAATCTAGTAGTGAGACACTGAACACCCTGTAGACCCTTCCCTGAAATACAGAAAACAAACAAACAAAAACAAATTATATCTAAACTTCATTTATTTATTTTTTGAAAACATTTTTTGGTTCTGGGAATTGAATTTAGGACTTTGCATTTGCCAGGAAGCTGCTTGTGCCACTGAACGTTATCCTCATTTCTTAACTTCAAAATTGTAGGAAATGTGTAGAATGTGTCTCGGAATGGAAGTAATTTAGTAATTTTTTTGTTAATTGTTAAAAAGGTTAAAAATTAAGTTTGGACAAACGCTGGCACATGCATGTTAGGCCCACTGGCTTCCACGTGGTGAACTGCAAGCTAACTTGATGTGAAGCCAACTGTAACCTACTTTTTCAACAAGTAGCTGAGTCTCAGCCGACCACAAGCAGCCATCTACTAGCTGTGAGCTTTAGCTGACTGGTCTTTGTATCTGACTTCCGGTTGCTGTGGGCCACTTTCTTTGCTCTGGCTACAGGATACTGGGATGGCTTTGAAATTTGCCCAGTTTGGTCTTGGACACAAATTGATGCAAACTTTTTCTCTTGGTTTTTGTCATTTGTTTAATATTTGACACACAAGCCGTAACCTGTCTGTGGTATCCACTGCATCTAGTGATTGTGTCCTTTCCAGCCAAAATAACTTGTTTAGTGCTGGTGGATCTTTGTCTTCACTGCACCTCCCAAAACCCATTAAAGGTAGGGGTCCAGGGGGCCGAGGGGCCACTCGATACAGCCTGTCCACACCGTGGGCACCACCTTCTGAACTGGGTTTGGTCTCTCCTGCTGCTGGAGTGTCCCATTACAGGTCATGTTAAGACCGGTGAATCCAGATTTGTTGTTGCTTTCTTTTTTTAACAGTAAGAATTGTTAAAAGGGGCTGGTGAGATGGCTCAGTGGTCTAAAGCACCTCC